ACGGCTCTCCCGAGCCTGGGGACACGAGGTGACATGCGTGACGGCCTCCCGTACCTCCCGGAACACTCGCCGCCCAGAACGTTGACCCGGCCCGGCGGCGGGACTTGCCGCAGGCAGCTGAATTCTGTCCTGGACCCGAGGCCAATGATTCACTAACATAGCTAGGGGTGTACGTTACCGAAGCTGCGAAACCTTCAATTGGAACGCGCTCCTGACGCCACCTTGTCTCGTCACTTCCTACGGGTGCGCGCAAGCAGCCAGCCAGCCAGCAGCCAACAAGCAGCAACTGCCAACCATCTACTCATACAACAAATCAATCCGTCAAGTTGCCAGCCAGCCAACCGACAAGCCAACAAACGAACCAACCGAACAAGCGTAGGCACGTTAGCAATCAGAGGGTGAGGGCAGCGGCAAAGGTCGAAGCCCTTCACACTACGATGCCGAATGAGCTGCCATCGCTTCTGCTGCTGCGGACTGGTTCTTATCGGAGAATGGGGGCGTGAGATCGCAATGAAACGGAGACCCCCCACCAGGAAATCGGTTTCGGTTTCGTGTTCGTGTCGTGCGTGCGGGCGAGGCGAAGCTGCGCGTGATCCTCCTGTAGCTAGGCCGAAGTAGGAGCGAAAGTCCGGTTCCCGTCCGCCAGTGGCCGGGAGGTGTCCCAATTGGGCCGGGCGGTGTCCCGGGTGTCGCGGGTGTCAGTAGGAGCGAAAGTCCGTTTCCCGTCCGCCGGCCGGATGTCCGAGATGAGATCAAGGTGACAGGCAGCGGGCCTGCTGCACAAGCGCTGATCGCGGCCGCGTGGGCCACCTCGCCGGGAGCGCGCTGCAGCGGGACGCTGACTGCAACGACCGAGTTCTCGAGGTGCTGGAGCAACGTGCGCGAAGATGCGTGCGCGCGCGCTTGCTGCACGCAAGTGGCCAAGACTCGCGAATGATTTCCTGGGGAAGCGCTGTGCTACTCCGTGCATAAGAACCCCCAAGTGCTGACAAGTCTGACTTCAAACCATGGACCCCCGACTCGATCAAACACGTGCAGACACTTGACTCACCAGGCAGACGGGTGGAAGACAAGGATTGGACGGCCGAAGCGTGCGAGGAACGCAGGACGTAATTTGAGAATCAGAAAGACAGTGGAGGAGGAGGAGGAGGAGGAGGAGGAGGAGGAGGAGCGGGAAAGTGGGCAGGAGGTCGAGACAAGGAGGGGGAGGACGCCGCCGCAAGGATACCACCAGGGGTTGGCCAGGGACTGCCGCCGATGGTGTGCCGAGAAGGCCAGGCAACACATGGAAAATTGGATCATCGGGACAGCCCTCCATCCTTCTTACATCTTCTTGCCGCGGAACAGGCGCTCGCGCAGACCAGTCGGGCAGGCAAGGGACGAGGCTACACACTCTCCGCTCCCCGTCGAGGCGGCGGGCACAAACCTTCCTCACTCGTCCGGGGCAGCCGTGGGAGCGGCACGGCACGGTGGCACGGTGGAGATGGAGGCGCCCTCCTCCCTCCCGAGGGAGGGCGGGAGGGGCAGGGGGGGGGGGGGAGGGAGGAAGGAAAGGGTGGAGATGGAGGCGAATCGAGCTCGGAGGGGGGAGGGAGGGGAGGGGAGAGGCAGGGAGGGAGGGAGGCGCATGCGCAGATGCCTCCCAGATGGGGTCGGCATAGATGGGGTCGAAGGATCGCGCCGCACCGCCGATGCGTCGCCGATGCATCGGCGACGTCGGAGATGCATCTGCGACGTCGGCGCGGAGAACACCGGGCTCCACAGCGAGCCGAATCGCCGACGTATCGGCGAGGCGGCGCGATCCGACCCGATCAACTCGAACCCCATTTGGGAGGCCTAGAATCCGGTATGACCGTGGATTATGTTTTGGTGCTTCGAAATGCACTGCGGTCAAGCTCTGCTCACAAGCGCGAGGACAGTCCTGGGTGAGACAATCACAAAGATGTGCAGGCCATCAGAGAGCATCTAACCTTTACATCCCCCATCCTTCTCCCCCCCTCTCCCCCCTCCCGCCATCCATCGCCAGTTTGCCCCACGCCGTCAAACATGCACAATTGCGAAGGGCAAGCAGTACACGTGTGGACCAGAGCTGCGCCCATGACCGAACCACACCAGCACAGTGGGCATGGCTGGCTTAGCGTGCCAGCTCTCCCGAGACAGCCCCTCTCTCCCCCATCGACCACGGGCTCACGCCTGCTCCCCTATGAGTAAATGCGGGATGACGATTCATAAAAAATGGGAGAGAACGATTAAAAACATAGTTTTCTACTATTTCTGCACAATCTTCTGATTGGAGGAGAACGATTTAAAACAAATAGCTTTCCAGCCCGCGGCCGGTTTTTGCTAATCGTCATCCCGGGCGCCGCCGCGTGAACACGACCCCCGGTAATTTATCAATCGTCATCCTCCATTAAATGCCCCCTCCTCCCTCGAGTGGCCACTGGCCGCCGGCCTGAAGAAGGCTCCGCGCCCCCAGACTGGCGGCAGACACGTGACCATGCGCAGACACCCCACCATCATTCCTGCAGCGGGTTCGGCTGGGATGGTACGAGTGTCGTCGCAATCCCTGCCGCGCGCAGGCCCACAACGTGTCAAATACCCATGCAGAGCAAACAGGTGAGGGGTGTGCACCGAGACCATAGGAGTACCCGAGGCGAAGCACCCCGCCGCCACACCGCGCTGCTTATGGACAGGGGTCGAGGGGCTGTCGGTGCGTTGGCCGGTGGCACCTGGGGCACGCGATGACCATGGCACAGGTGGCGCAGCTGGCGCCACCGCGGTGCACCTGGCGCCCAGATTGGCTCTCAGAGGCTGCCCATCGGATGCGGACTGCTGCCGCTGGGATGCTACTTGTGCGTCGAAGGGCGTGCGGGAAGGAGCGTTCTCAGAGGCTGCCCATCGGATGCCGACTGCTGCCGATGGGATGCTACTTATGTGTCGAAGGGCGTGCGGGAAGGAGCTGTCTCGGTGCCTTTCACTTCGGCGCTCTCGCTGGACAGTTCACGACACCGGCGCCTGCGAAAGGCATGGGGCGGCAAAGACTCGCCGTGGGCGTCTTCGATCACCCAGGTAATATCAGGAGATTAGGTAAGATGCCAATCGCATATCAACGTAACTGGGCTCAGCAGGGAGCTGAGCTGAGCTGGGCTACACAATGGCCAGCTTCGACACCGAGGAACCTCACGTTGAAATGTGCACCATCGGCCACAAACGCCAAACCAACCCAGGCTACAGTCGGGCCGCTGAAAGAAAGAACGCCAAATAAGGAACGAAGCCCCTTCTTTGCCCCCAAACCCGCCTGCGTGGACGAGGAACGCTGGAGAAACAACCCTGGAAGGACATACTAAATGTATGGAACGTCGAGCCCCTTCCCAACCCAAACGGTTCCTTATTTCAGCGTCTTGGCTGTAGGCCCATCTAAGATGTAAGACCACCCCAGCCACGCGTGAGCTCATCCACGCCACGTGAAGCCAAGGTCGGTTACACGAATATTATCTCTGCTACGTAAGCTTCGCTACCCCGAGCTATCGTATGTGAGCCAGTGGCCCTAATGGGCACTTGACATGCTGTTCCACCATACACGACCCGATCATACACGACCCGATCAATTGTTCCTACGGGCCATGTAGAAAGGCATCATGCTGGCAGTGGGCACGAGCAATGGATGACGAACGTGATGCTCTGTGTCCTGCTCTACTCACCCCTTGTACTTTGATCTCCGCACTCCAGTCTCCATTCTCCATCCGCTGCTCTTAACTGTCCCCCCCCAATCCCTGCTCTATACTAGGAGGAGGGCCTCTGCTCTTTGCGTACTAATTCCTCTACCATAGATGCTGTCTGCCTCCCGATGCGCCAAGGAATTCGGGGCGTCCAAGAGGTGGGCGTCCAAGCGGGGGACTCCCAAACCATGGCCTGAGGTACGCGTGCGGCCCACGGGGGGCACCTCTGTGGCGCTTCCACTCCCTGGCCATGAGCTCCCCCCTATAGTCATCACCTTCCTCTTGTGACGCCTCCGAGACGCCGCCGGAACTGCAAAACACTGGAGCTGGCAGCCTGATGCACCACCGACATCGGCGACCCACGGCTTCACAAATTCCTTTCAAGTTCTGCAAGGACGTCGTGAGTCCAAGGACTGGGGAATAGCTAAATCATGACATATCCAAGTCAGGTGATGTGCGGCTATCTAAGCAATAGTGCAGCAAAGCTGCCTCGAACGCACGCTTGAAAGTAACCCTGCTTTAGTTCGAATGGTGCTGCGCATAGTTGCTTTACCCGTGTTCCTCCACATCACTTCTAGCGAAACCTCGCCCAGAAATCACTTGTGGATGGACTGGCATGGGGTAAATGCGGAGCATCAGAAATTGTAATCGCCGCTTCCAACCCGAAAGCACCCCTCTCGAGCCGCCTACATCTCGCGCTGAGCCTGGCCAATCGCGCGCCACCGTCCCTATTGCAAGCTCTCACCTGGCACCACCTTCCCGACACGATCCGTATCAGCCCACCCTCACCAGCCCTCCCTTGCCCCTCCTCTCCAATATTCCATCCCCCTCGCCCTCCTCTGAGATCCGACGCTGCGACCAACATGCGACATCGCAAGGAATCACTCGACCGGAGCCCTGCGGACCCCATCTTCCTGCGGCACCTTCCGAGCCCGATCGCTCTGCGAGGGTCCCCCGGGGCCCGACGGACAGGCGAAGACACGCCCGGCGCGAAGAGATGGCGACGTCGGGATCTCAGGAGCCCGCCTCTTGCCTTCCCCTCTCTTGCCATCGCTCGGACGTCCATTTCCTGTGCATTGTTCGGTTTCGTGCGTGTATTCTTTTTGCTCGATGGTCCAGGATGGTCCTCGATGGTTCTCGCCGAGACAAAAAAAATGCACACGTCCGAGCGATGCCTTCCCCTCTCCCCCAGCACATCCAGCGGCGGCTTCACCGCCGAAAGCGGTGGAGCGGCCGAAAGGCAGTGGAATGGCAAAGCGTCCACTGCAGCTGCGCAGCGCTTCACGGGCCGCCCTGCTCGGGAGTCTTCGGGAGCGCGGGGCCTGGAGCGCCGCCGCGCTTCGCCTCGCCGGCTTCGCGGAAGAGCCCACCCCAACGAAGATAGACGGTTCTTTGTAGCAATTTCCCTCAAATCTGGTCGATACCTTTTTCTGGCGCTCGAAATTCTTCCTGGCGATCAAGGCTAAAGCAGGTTGGAGCATCATAAGCCTATCGGCGATCAGTGGGCGATTGGGGATCGAGGCGTCCCCTCCTGTTCCTATCCCCCTCATATCGCTGCCCCTGAGTTACGGAGGGGCTGGGGTCCGGGCCCGGGTCAGTGTTCGGTCGGGCACGTCCATCTACAGGCGGATGTTGGATGCAAAATGGAAAGAAGACAAAACTATTCAACACTAGTGAATACTACTCATACTACTACTACTACTACTACTACTACTACTACTACTACTACTACTCCTACGATTACTACTACTACTACTACTACTACTACTACTACTACTACTACTACTACTACTACTACTACTACTACTACTACTACTACTACTACTACTACTACTACTACTACTACTACTACTACTACTACTACTACTACTACTACTACTACTACTACTACTACTACTACTACTACTACTACTACTACTACTACTACTACTACTACTACTACTACTACTACTACTACTACTTTACTACTACTACTACTACTACTACTACTACTACTACTACCACCACTACCATCACTACCACTACTACTACTACTACTACTACTACTACTACTACTACTACTACTACTACTACTACTACTACTACTACTACTACTACTACTACTACTACTACTACTACTACTACTACTACTACTACTACTACTACTACTACTACTACTACTACTACTACTACTACTACTTCTACTACTACTATCATCACAATCGTCCCCAGACTAATTTCATACTAGTTTTGAATTTTACTCCTGTAGAGGGACCTGCCCGACTCAGCTCCATCGATCTGCTTTTACCGCTCGCGGAAGCCGAGGACGGGGGGGACGGGTCCTTACCGGTCGCCAGAAGCAGCAGCCGGAGGCAGCCGAGGTCTGGTCTACGAGGGGGAGGGGTCGGCGGTGGGGTCGGCGGTGGACAAACCTCCCCTTGGTAAACCACCCTGTGGTGAAAACGGCCTGGGACCGAAACCGGCTGACCTGGACCCGCAAAGCTGACGGCCGCGACACCCACCTCGCGACGCCCCCCCTTCCCCGCCCCGCAAAGATGACGGCCGCGACGCCCCCCCCGCAAAGATGACGGCCGAAACGGCCAAATCGCCAATCGACGCGTCAGGGTGAGAGGTCTATCAACCTCCGAAGGGGGAGGGGCCAGGGGGCCCACGCCGATCTGCGAGGCCGCACCCGAGAAGCCGCTGCCAAGAGAACAGTGGACCCTCCGGTAGCTCGCGCTGGCCAGCGGGGTACGCGCGGCTCTGCCTGCCGCCTCCGCGCCTCGAGAGCTTGGCCGCGGGGGCCGCCTCGGCACCGCGGCTCCGGCGCCCCCCCCCCGTGGGACGCACAAGGACAGACTAGCGCTACAGTCAAAAACCCTAATAAGGACGCGCGGTAAGGACGCAAGACCCTTGGAAGCCGAAGTTGGGATTCTTGGGGCGGCGGACGACGAAAACCCCAAGGACGCGAGGGTACCCTGACTCACCTCCTTGAAGGCGCGCGTCCGACCCGAACATCTGGTACACCCACCCTGTGATGTATATCGTTTCCCGAGCGGCGTGGCCAGAGAGCGCCGCCCCCCCCCCGCGGGCCGAGCACACCAGCTCGCACCAGGCCGGTTGCCGTGGGCGGCGCGCGCACGAGCGGGCCGGGGGGGCGGGGAGGGCCTCTTCCCGGACCTTCCAGGAGGGCTAAAAAATAGCACCAGGACGTCGACGTCCTAATTCCTGTCGAGGTTTGAGGCCGTCCAGATAGATCTGTAGGTCTGGAGTGCGATTTGTTAGCGCTCTGGAAGGTCAGGGTCGGAGGGAGGCGGCCTCCCGCGGCTGGACGCCAGAGGGTGGCCCTGGGCAGGAGCGGCCTCTGGCGCGCGGCTCTCGGGGGAGCCGCGGGGGGGGGCCCCGCCCCAGCGCGCGGGCCGCTGCCGTCGCAGCGCGCTCGGCGATCGGGGGGGCCCGAGGTAGGGAGCCCACAAAGGACGTACGCGCCCAGCTATGTACATGAACACGGCCCCTCGATTCGCGAGACCCGCCGCGTTATACGAACATTTGTGCAATGCGTGCTCTCGAATCCAGCGTGGATTCATGTACATGTACGTCCTTGTTTCGCTCCTGACGAGGAGCCCGCGCCAGAGGGCTCCTCCGGCGAAGGGCCACCCTTGCGCACAGTCGATCCTCAGAAGGCGCGGGCCTGGTCTACAGACGCAGGGCAGGTGCCCTCCGAGAAGGAGCGGCCTCCTTCCAAAGGAGCTTCCCCCCCCTCCCCCTGCCCCGCGGTGCGCACCCGGCAGCTCCTGTCCAGGAGGCCAGGGCAGGCCGGAGGACGGGGGGGGGGCAGGAGAGCAGAGACGGGGGGGGGGCTCTCAGCAGCTGCCAGCTCTGCCCTTGCCTCATCGGAGGGTGCAGCTCTAGACTCATGTCGGGCCTGTCCCCCTGCAGGGGGATCTTCGACCGAAAAAGATAAGATACCCCAACAAAAATAATCAAAACATGTTCCCAAAATAGTCTGGGGACTAGTTTTTGGTATGTTTTCATCTTTGGGGGGTATTTGTGTGGTATTTTTATTTTTCGTCGAAAATCCCCCCGTAGGGGGACAGGCCCGACTTAACTCTAGACAACTTTCTCCAGCGCTGCGCTCTCGACGCCCAGGAATCGAGCTGTCGCACGAGACCTCGCCACAATTTCCCCAGGAATGGTGTTCTCGACTGAGACATGTTCACAACTTGCGAAGTTCGCGCTTGAATGCCACGCCAATCCGACCCGCCCGTTAGGGCCCGCCCGCCCGACTCGCAAGTTTGTGTATGCCTGGCCTCCCCGCCCGCTAGGGTCCGCCCTTTCGCCTGCTTGGAAGCCCGCCCGCCCGCTCTAATGTCCGACCCGCCCGTTTAAAGCCCGCTCGCCCGACCCGCCATCGGGGATCTTCTGACCCTGGTCGATGCAGACCCGGGCCAGCCAAGCCGCACAAGATCCTGCAGGATCCTGCACCCCAAGCCCGGGTCAGTGCGCCCCTGGCCCTGCAAGATCCTGCAAGATCCCGCGCTCTGACTGACCCCCGTTTGAATTGTTCCCCCATCTCTTGTTGAGCAGGGACCGACCGTCCCGGCATTCCTATAGTCCTACCACGAGATGTTCTTATAACCCGAAGTGTTCTAAGAACAAAAACAATGTTCTCAGAACATATTCCCGACGTGTCAAAACAAGACAGCCCCAGTCAGACATGCTCTGAGCACATTTCCTGGAAACCACAGAGGGATCTCAGGACACTGCTTGGTAGGGCTATGGGCGAGCCAGGACGCTTCGCCACTGCTTGATCTTGCGCCCCGACGCCGGTCAGAGTCCGCCCGCCCCGCCCGCCCAGCAGGGTCCGCCCGCCCAGCCTGCCCGTGAGCGTCCGCCCGCCTCGCTGCCCCGCCCGCTCGACCCGCTCGTCGGTGTCCGCCCGCCCGACTCTGCCCATCGGGCTCGGCCTGCCACTCTTCCCGCTCGGCTCTCCGCCCTCCCCCCCCCCCCTGCCAGAGGCTTGCCATCTTCAGTTCTCCTGCCTCTCCCCCCCCTCTTGCACCCCTCCCTTCCGTCTTCCTCCTCCCCTGCCTCGCTCTGCTCGTTTTCGCGTTTCTCGTGCATCCTCCGATGTTAGCGACCGCGCTAAGTAAATGCGGTAGGCAATGAAGATATACCCCTGAGCCCGAACGGGGTCATGAAGTCGACGAGGGTGGGTATCGAGGGCTTAACGACGAGCGAACCGTCTTAACATGATCGTCATGGTTGTTGTTGTTGTCGTTGTTGGTGTTGTTGTTGTTGTTGTTGTTGTTGTTGTTGTTGTTGTTGTTGTAATTGTTGTTGTTGTTGTTGTTGTTGTTTTTGTTGTTGTTGTTGTTGTTGTGGTTGTGGTTGTGGTTGTCGTTGTCGTTGTTGTTGTTGTTGTTGTTGCTGTTGTTGTTGTTGTTGTTGTTGTTGTTGTTGTTGATGGTGTTGCTGCTGCTGCTGCTGCTCATCGTCCTCGTCCGCGACCTACTCGCGACCCAACGACCCACCCGCAACCCTCCCATGACCCACCCGTGACTCCCCCGCGCACCCCCCACGCGACGCACCCCCAGTGTTTTGACACAAATTCAGCGTCTGGAGCGGGATCCTTCACTTTTGCTGCCGAGCCTCGCGGACGGCCGACGACCGCCCTCCCCCGCCCCCTTCACTCTTGTCCGCAACTGCGGGGGCTGTAGTCAGAGTGAGGGGGCCGAACGGTCATGCATTGTCCCTGGGTGCGTGGCTCTAGTGGGGATCCGTGGTGAAGATTATGTTTGTTGCGTTGTTGTTGTTGTTGCTGTTGTTGTCGTTGTTGTTGTTGTTGCTGGTGTTGTTGCTGTTGTTGCTGTTGTTGTTGTTGTTGTTGTTGGTGTTGTTGTCGTTGTCGTTGTCGTTGTCGTTGTTTTTGTTTTTCAACTCTCACTTCTGAAAACAATAATTATCGTTGATCCCCTCTCACCGGTGCATACTGTTTTTCTCCATCAAAGTGCGCCCTCGACGCTCGCACCGTGCTTTTTGACGGGGAAGCTCTTGGTGCTCAAACTGTGCCCCTGGCCCCCGGGTTACAACAACAACGGATCCCGCCTGAGACATCCTCACGATTTAGCCAAGATCCCCGTTCCCGCCTGAAACTTCTTCGCATTTTTTTCAGAATCGCTCTCTCGCTTAAGACTTCCTGGCGATTTCTTTAGGAATCGTCCTCTCGGCGCTCTGGAGTCGCGCTTTCGCTGGAGACTTGCTTGCAACTCACTTAAGAATAGCGCCCTTGCGTTGGAATTCCCTGCAATTTACTCAAGCGCCACGCTCCCAACACTCAGGCACCCAGGAGTCGCGCTCACCCTTAAGACTCCCTCGCGCATTTTTTGGGAAACGGGATCTCGCTGCTGTTCGTGGCCCATTTGCAGCCCTGCGTGGCTCCCTCGCTGCCCTTCGTGGCCCCCGTTGCTGCCCTTCGTGGCCCCCACGCTGCCCTTCGTGGCCCCGTTGCAGCCCTTCGTGGCCCCCCGCTGCCATTCGTGGCCCCGTTGCATCCCTTCGTGGCCCCCTCGCTGCCCTTCGTGGCCTCGTACATGTATGTAATTCGTGACCCCCTCGCTGCCCTTCGTGGCCCCCGTTGCAGCCCTTCGTGGCCCCCTCGCTGCCCTTCGTGGCCCCGTTGCCGCCCTTCGTGGCCCCCCCGCTGCCCTTCGCGGCCACGTTGCACCCCTTCGTGGCCCCCTCGCTGCCCTTCGTGGCCCCATATATGTATGCACGTCGTGGCCCCCGCTCGTTCGCGCCCGTCGTGGCCCCATAGGCATGCCCTTCGTGACCCCGCTGTCGCCCTTTGTGGCCCCCTCGCTGCCCTTCGTGACCCCGTTGCTGCCCTCAGTGGCCCCGTTTTTTGCCCTCAGCGGCCCACTATATGTATGCCATTGGTGGCCCCCCTTCGTTCGCGCCCGTCGTGGCCCCATAGGCATGCCCTTCGTGGCCCCGCTGTCGCCCTTCGTGGCCCCCTCGCTGTCCTACGTGGCCCCGTTGCTACCCTCAGTGGCCCCGTCGTTGCCTTCGGTGGCCCTGCATTATGTGCCCTTCGTGGCCCCCGCTCGTTCGCGCTCTTCGTGGCCCCATACGCACTCCCTTCGTGTCGCCGCTGTCGCCCTTCGTGACCTATTTCGTGCCCTTGGTGGCCCCGCTGTCGTTCTCTGTCTCGCTCTCGCTTTCGCTCGTCGTCGTCGTCGTCATCGTCGCCGTCGCCGTCGTCGTCGTCGACGTCGTCGTCGTCAACGTCGTCGTCGTCGAAGCGGTCGGTCCCCTGGCCGTCCCTCTTGGGGTCGAGCTGCCGCCGATCAGCGCTGCCGCTGGCCAGGCCGACGGTCCGCGGCCGCCCCGTCGCTTGCCGGGCCCCGGCCTGCAGGAAAGAACGGTTTGCCTTC